GGTCGTTGTTTCCGTTGCCCCCGTCTGGTGTTTTGTTGTCCGGTGGGGGGGGGGGGGGGGGCCTCGGCTCCCCCTGCGTACGCCACTGCTAACAGAGTTCTTTTTTTTTATTGTGTTGAAAAGTAATAAAGATAAACTTAATATTTTCATACTTAAATTTGGTATTTGATGAACAACAATACGTTTATCTGTAATACACGTAAGAATATCTGAACCAAATAATAATGAACAATTTTGTATTAAAAATTCAACGATTGATGACATAACATCAGCTTCTTGTTTGCCAGATGTTATTGTTGTTGATTCAGTTTTAAATAAACTATTTGAAACACATAAACCTAAATTGAATGGATTCATTCCATTTGTATCAGCATTTTCCGATATACGATGAAGAACACATATAAAACCTTTTAATAATATATGATTGGCTTCAGATAGAGTACATAATATACTATGAATATAGACAGTTAGAAAAGATAAAAAAAAAATTTCTATGTAATTTCTACCTTTTTTTTCCAAATGAAATCTTTTCTATTGATGTTGAAAGTCGAAGACATTTTTTCCAATTATCATATTGAATGGAATTAAATAATGGTTCAGGTAAGGTACGTAGAAAATGCTAAAAATAATTAAGGATAATATCAAGCAAGGTTCAATAGGTGAGACATGCAGGAATAAATGCAAATTAATCTTTTTTTTTTTTTTTTCATTCCTACCTTCTATTCGCCTAATTAGAAATATACTTTTTGTTGCTTATTACAGAGCGAATTTGTTTGAAAAAAACTTACTTTTAATAGTCCAGCAGCTAATATTGGATGTAAATCATCATCTTGTAATGGTATATTACGTTCAATTTTTTCAATACAATCTTTAACGGAACGTGTATTGGCTACTTTTCGAAAAATACCCGTTGTTTCTGGTCCTTTCGAATAAAGAACTTCAAGTAATTGCTAAAGAAATAAATAGATATATGAAAATGAATTTCTTTTTTTTTTTTGTGTTTGTTTTCTATACCATAATCACAGGTGGTAATTGATGATTATATCTTTGAATAAGTTCATCAGGTGTTCGACCAAAAAAATTACAATAATTTTTTATTTGATTAGGTGAACTAAGATATGGTGTTGATGGTGAATGATATTCATCCGTTAATTGTTGTTGTGTTTTAGTTTTTCGTTTATGAAAAAAACGATGTTTTCTTGTTTGATTTTCTATGAAAAACAAATAATTTTTATACTATAATTATCGTTATGATAATCGAAACAAACCAGTTAATGCATCACGTTTTCGTAATTCAAAATCATGATAATTTGTTGTTGTTACATTATTTAAACTAGTCGATGAACTAGTATGATGTGTTTGATATGATAAATGATCATCACCTTCAAATGATCGATTATTTGTAAAGATTGTATGAGCTGATTTTAAATGTTTCATCTTTATTGAATAAGGATATTCATGACCTAAGAAATAAATGAATAATTATTCGTAATAAAATGTCTATTAATACGGTATAGACACTTGTTTTATTTAGAATGAATGTTGAGAATGTGTATTGTCTTCGTTTTTTGTTTTTTTTTTTGAAACATGATCAGTTATACTGTATATGAACCAATCAATTTAGACGATACTTTTTATTTTATCAAGAAAAAAGCTTAAAGATATGATTGTATGTCACTATTTTTTTTTTCATGGTCTAATGAGACGGATCAAACTAAATAGTAGCATTGATTTTTCGTGCGTGATTAACATATTCATGTCATCATCGATACATTCTTTTTTTTTACTAATTCTACAGGAAATGTCAAATGTAGGTGTTCTTGTCTTTTTCTTTAGGTTAATATCTGTCGAAGGACAATCTCTTATTTAAATAACGAATAAAACGTTTGTCTCGTTTTCTTTCTTTTTGTTTTACCTTCTTTACGACGATTACCATCATATAAATTATCAAGACTTTTCGAACGCATTGTAACAGCACGAAATCGAGAAAAAAATGTTGGATGATATCGATCAGTTTTACGTGAACGTTCGTTAATCATCAATTATGATTAGTTTTTGTTTTTTAAGAAAGAAAGAAAAATAATAATAGCAACGTTAAACTAATGTTGGTTTGCATAAAAATGAATCAAAGACTCCTGGTTACGTATAAATCTTAAGTACTCTTGTAATTCGACAAGAGAAAAAAATACTAAAGGAAGAAAAAAGAAAATGCGACAAGCGAAAACTTATACACAAGTACGTCTCTATAAGATGAAGTTTCTCATTTTACTTTCGTCTTTTCTTTTTTTTTTGTTGCCTAAACTAACCAATTAATGGTATATTTGTTATTTGAGTGGATTGTGAGAAAGAATTTGGATTTGTATGAACTGTTGAATTAGATTGATTATTTGTTACGAATAAAACATAACTATCCACTAATGGATCCTTTATAAACAAAAAAAAAGAAAAAAGAAAATAGCAACAACTAAAGTAATACATTAACATACTCGAAGATGAAATGCTTCAATACATTTTTTAATAAGATCTTGAACCGTTTCCTGTGGTCGAATACTAATAACTTTACGCTGAAATAAAAATATGGAATTTTATTTTCATTTTTCTTGAGAAATATTTATTAATAACGTACAATAAGAAATGACGCTGTATTATTATTTTGATCGGATTCGTAATTTTGATCGATTACAATTCGAACATGTTCGATATTTGAATCATTTGATTGCCACCAAGTGTAAAGTGTTCTAAATAAATTTAACAAGTTTTTTTAAAGTTTTCAGATTCATATGTAGAAATTTCGTTATAGAGAAAGAATAAAACTTACTTCTTCTAACAACGAGACACTAGATTATTATTTATCTGTATTTGTAAGAATAGATATTCGCTCTTTCGAAAAAGAAAATTGATCAATCTTTTTTCTTTTCTGAAGAAAGAAATTTGTGCATGACAAAATTTTATATATGATTAAGAAATATTTTTCTCAGACATTGGCAATAGTTATTTAAATTCGAAAAAATATTGACTTTGTATTTAAATATCATAGAAAAGAGAGGGGTGACATGACAAAATATGTATCTTTAGACTACTAATATATCATTATTTTAGACTATCGAATAACCAAAATGATAAAGATTGAATGATATAAACGATAAAACATGAAGTTTTATCAGCAAAAATTTTGAATTATCTCAAGAACAGACGTCAGCACGTGCTAAAAGCAATATTTATTATTGTGCTTTACATTTTAAAAGAATTCTTTATCAGTTTATAGGTCATGATAACTTACGATTCAATACGTTGTTTCCAAATATCTCGAATAGATTTTGTGTCGAATTCTACAATAAAATTTTCTGCTAATGGCCAACCAATAATTAATGAACGTTGAGAATCATAATAATTTAATGATGTTATTTCAGATGCTATACTATCATATAAATTTTTATATAACCATATACAATTTAAATCAATACGATGTTTAATTTTAAATAATGATTGTCGTTGATTATATTTACCAATAATTAATTCATTTTTATTTGTTATTATAAATAAACGTCGACATGTTGTATAATCACGAAATAGAGTAACATTTGTCCATAAATCATAAGAATCAAATATACCAACTGATATTAAACAACGATATATATTATCTTGTGTTGTATCATCTATACTTGAACGTTTATTACCAAGAAAATAACGACTTATGGAACGTGATTTTCTTGATGATGGTTGAGAGACAACGACTTTTTTCAATAGTTCATCTGTTTGATTGTTCATCGCCAATAAAACAAATAATTAATAAATAAATAAATGAAAGATGAAAACATCTGAAGCTATAAGAAAAAAAAACACACGCTTTTTTTTTCGTGTTGAGAAAACAGTTAATTAATTAAACAGACTGCAAGCGACTCATAGCACAGTCTTCACTGTGACCATTGTCTCATCATATTAACCAACCATTAAAGATATCACTAGGGGTCTCACATTTACCCCTTTTTTTCTTCTTCTTCTTCTTCTTTCTATACCAATATCAATCAATGACAAATTTTATAACTCATACGAACACGATAGATGTCGATTTTTTTTTTATCATATAACAAATATAATTCATATTTTGTACAAGAATAGTCGTACATTGTGTAACAATACGGAAAATTGATGATATAATATCATTTTTTGTTCAATATGCGTCTTGATAATGCAACAAATATAAATGAACATTCATCTTGGATGATTTAAGAAGACACACAACGTTTGTTTGTATGTTGAATATATCTAATACGACTTCTGACAGCAAACGATAAGAATGTGTTGAGCTTAAACTAAATGATCACATTAGAATTAAAGACTGATGGGTATAATCTCAATAGCTAGTGACCTGCGGCTTTCAGTAGTAATCGGAAAAGGAGAACTCGAAATATTTTTTTTCTCTTACTATATAAAATAAAATACTTGAAAACGGTATTCCGTTTTGATGTAACTTCAGTTTTGACATAGGTCGCAGATCTTGAGTAATGATACAGACAGTTATGTTCTTATATCTTAATGTACAGCAAACAACATAGCATATCTATTCAATCAACTTATATAGAATGAAAACCGCAGGTGATTATCTATTGCTATTGCCGAGTTATTAGTAATATTTTAGAACTTATCTTTACAGGTGTTTATTGGATACTGTGCTAAAAATAGATCTATTATAATAGCACATGAAGAAACTGTCAACGAGAAAAAGTCCTTCAAATGATTAATCGCATTTGAATCAAAATTATGTGTATCATACAGATCTAAATATCATATGAAATACTTTGAAAAGAGCTAGAACTCTTAGCTTGTTGTTGTGGAGATACTGAATTTTAGCAGAATTTCGATTTGAAAATTTGCATTGAAACAAGTACTAATAAGAATAGTTTATTATGAAAGATTCGAATCTTTTTGTTATTCTTATTGTATGTACCAATGACTTAATGCTGAGAAGTCATGTTTTTTATAGATACTTCTAGGAGTAATCAATTGTAAAAATGGCAGCTGTTTTTCAGAAGATTTTCTTCTATACAGCTCGGTACGTTGATTATTTTACTAGAAAAAAAAAATTATTCTAATTTATTCAAAAAATTATGATGCTTGGGTAAAAATACTCGAAAATTTTGAGTATTTTGGTCTTAGTACTATTATTTATTGAATAAATTTGAATATTTTTTTCTAGCAAAATAATCAGCAGAATCAGTTCTACAAACGAAAAAAAATCTTCTATGAACTTTGGATTTTCGGTGATTGACTACTTATGAAATCATTTATTAAAAATACAATTCTCAAGCATTTTCTCGTTAATATTTAGAATAGGAATCGCAAAACGATCTGATACTTTCACAATAAACTATTCTTATTAAGATCTGTCTCTATGTGAAGTTTCAAATCGAAATTCGCAAAGAAATTTTTCTGACCACTACCACAGTTATAATCAATTGGCGGACTTTCATTATTAAACATTGTTTTGCATACTTAAAATCTTTTGAATCTATATTAACAAGACTTTTGCAAGTCAGCTAACTAAGTACACAGAAGTGTTCAATAGTTAATGAAAAACAAAAAAAAGACTCCTACCCAAAAGTACGCAACATACTTTTCGATTTCGACCTTGAAAAAAAAAATGATTATCTTTGTATGCAATCTAAAAGTTTGTTCTTGAACTCATTTTATCCAACTGTTATTGCCTTTTTCTAAATTTCTTATTTTCAAATATCAAACTATTCCTTGTTTAATTAGACATAGAAAAGAAAAAAAATTTCATTTAACAATCTCTAAAAAAGAAAATACTTGCATAGATGTAACCGCATTGTTTGTTTCTAATGTAAAAGAAACATGTCAGGAATTTTATAGATCCAATTCATTACAAGAAAAAAATCGATTATTACTACCTTGACAATGATTGTTTTTGTTACCTATGGATCCATTAAAAAAAATCATACTCAAGAATGACTGTTTTTATATGATCTTTTTTTCTCCTTCATCACTCTCACTGATTGATGTGATTGATTTTATCCTTCTAGAATATATATGTGTGAAAAACAACAATTTTCTTGGTACATACAATTGAAATAAAGTAAAGCAAAAAAAAAACAGACGAAAGATGAGAAAAAAAAAACAATAGTCTAAATACTAATGGAGAGTCTTTTTCTAGTATGCTCTTCTTTTTTTTTTTTTATTCTCTCTCTCTCTCCTACATACACTGAATGACAATAAAGACGTCGACAACGATGAGTTGGTGGAGATTGAGAAGAAGGTAAATAAGAGCGAGGACAAAGAGATTTGTTATTCTTTATACACGATACACTCTTATGAGCAGAAATGTGAAACGAAAGTCAGTGTCGATTATGTCAACATTTATTTGGATGAAAAGAAAAAGATTGTATGTTATGGCAGAGAACAGTGCATTGTTGAGCATCAAGCAAAATTGATCGATGATCCAGTGTGTGTGTGTGTGTACATGTTAAACAACCTGCGGCCAATCTTTTATGTTTTTTTTTGCACGTTTCTATAACCTCATCCAACTGATCAATGTAAAAAGAAGAAGAAGAGACTATTGAAATGAACGTGTCTATCAATCATTAAAGCATGATGAATGGTTAGATTGCATGAGTATGTGCAATTAATTATATAGAAAATCCTTATTTCGATGATCACATTCTATAAAGATTTTTTTTTATGTTACTTTGTCATTTGATAATGATATGTAATTGATAGATGTTGTTAAGCAATTATAAATGCAATTAAAAATGTTCTTTGAAGTAGTTCGCATTTAAAGTGTTTGAATGAAGGTAAAAAGACTTGTAAATGCTTGAAATATTTAATTGTTTCTTAATTCGATTCGTTATTATTCTTTTTATCGTTTTGTAAGAAAATAAAACTTGCTTCTATCTCGTCGATCTTAAACAGATATTCTTTGTTTATTGCAACTAATGATAAGAAAGATTATTCGAACATTTTCCAATTTTAGCATTTTTATTATTTTCTAATCTTATTAAATTTGTCGTGCTTTATCTCGGATTCCCTGGACAAAAATTGGGACTGGCAATATATACTATTTCAAGTAAATAATAAAAAAGAGAAAAATGTGATAAAAGACTGATAGTCAACTTATTATCTTTCATTGTAAGAAAAAAAAATTCTTTGTCTCTTTATGCTTCGTCTTGTATTTACTTATTATTTCTTGTCGTTAACATTAATATTTATTATTTTTTGTGATGAACCATGTCCAACACTTGATGATTTTCTAATTCGTTCACCTTATCTTGCACAATTTAATTCTCATTTCTATGAAGGTATTTGGTATGAATTAGCTTTTTATGATTATACACAATTTTCTAAAGCCTGCGGATGTACTCATTTAAATTGGACACTTTTGATAACAAATACTAGTATCTATTCAGATGATTTCATAACTAGTTGTCCATATGAACCTATTTGGCTTCGAAAGAATTATACAGTACATATGAATGGAACTGCTAATAATGAGCATTATCCATTTTTTATACCTGAAACAGGTTTTCATGTGCAATTCAATAATAGTGTAGGTAAGAATTTTTCATTTCCTGAATAAAAATATACTTCATTTGATGATTTCCTTTGTTTTTTCTTCTAAAGTTTATTATAGAAAAAGTGAAATTAAGAATTATTCATATGATCGAGCAATTCAATATCAATGTAAAGTTGATAAATTAGATCAAAGAGTATTTACAGGTATTAATTTTCTTTCACGAACTTACTTTAATTCTGATATTGAACGTAAACAAGCCATTGATGAAATGATTACTGCAGCTATAAATGCCGGTGTTGAACAGAAATATTTGCAACAATTAAAAATTGTTCAATGGAAAAATTGTTAAAGATAAATATTACTTGATGAATATAAGATCTATTTTAAATATTTAAATGTTTGTCGCATATGCTTCATTTGAAAACAGATTGTCAAAATAGATGTATGTTAGTGAAGTATTGTACATGATTATATTTCTCTTTCGTTTTAATAAAACTACCCAACAATAATTTTTGTCAATTATTTAGTAAGAGAAAAAAAACTAGGCCATGAAAATATTAATTGACAAACGAATAAATATATTCGACGTCAATCATTCGAAGGTATTCAATATGAATCATCAATATAAAAAGCTCTTTACAGATTATATTGATTCACTGCGCAATCAGAACCATAAAATGAGTAAATAAAACACATATTCATCAATCATACGATTTGGAAGAGTAACTAATCAATAAAATATTATATGTAAACGTTTTCTTTTAAATCATATTCATTGAGCATTTATGCCAATCATACGTATTTATTGATTATTCGATATGTCTAGTTAAAAGACCAAACTTATTCGAAATTCTTTTGTAAGTTTTCATATATCCTACATTGACAGATATCGTTGGTTTTTAATAATGGCGAAAATCGATTGTAGTCTCAAATTCGAAATAGCCTCGTTGGATCCGACAGGATTTCTGGACACTCTGACTGTAGACACTCGGTGGTATTAAAGTGTTTAGTTTTGCTTTTTTGTCATTATTAGACAACACGTGAAATACATTTGTGAGGAATGTCATAAAATCCACAACTCCGGTATCGAGATTTTCAAAAAATCTTTGCTCTGTTAATTTGAATTCATTGAAGGTCATTGTGCTCTTATAATTGAATTGGAATTAGAATTGACTTATACGATGTTTTCTCGAAGCCCCATGATGAGTCTCATTGAGCAAGAACGAAATCCGGATCGTAGAGGCTCTTTTCCGAATACTCTCCCTTACACTCTCGAGTTCTATGAAGTATTATTTCTTTATTGTTCATTCTGTTGAAAAAGACTAATTACAACTATAATGCATTTCGACTTTTCCGATATTTAAGTTCGTTATTTGAGTGCAATGAGTCGAATAATAAATGAGTTTCTGCATTGAAATGAATCTTTACCGATATTATTCGCTCAATTTAGTATGTTTGTATTTATTGTGAGATATTTCTCGAAAATGCCTTCTCACTTCTATACTGCTCTCTACTGGGGAGTGTCTAGGCACTTTCAGGGGGCCTGACACTGTGTGCGGTGTTGGGACGGCGTCTTCTGGAGTCCAGCAATCAAAAAGTCTTATCCTCGGACTAGTCATCCGTCGGTTGGACGTAAAACAATACTTGAATAACGAAAAGGAACAAACAGAAATAGTTAGTACAACTAACATAACGCGTTTTTGATCATGGAATGTCAGATCGTGTTATCGTGTCACTAAACGTGAACTGATTGTTCGCCAATTAAAAAAGATACCAAATAGAGGTCGCAGCACTAGCTGAAACCAATATACCGGATTCCGGTATTTACGTAGTGAATGGATACGCACTCACCCACTCTGGAGCAGTGGAAAACGAACGTTCAAGAGCGGCTCACGGAGCAGCTGTGTGCCTGGGTCCAAAAGCATCTCGTGCTTGGAGAAATTCCGGCTCCATTTGGAAATCAGTCAACTCGAGGATAGTAACTGTTCGCATTAAATGTCAGCCTATACCGATTACTGTTATAGTTGTCTATGCACCAGTNAGAATTAGATTTTATTGATAATAATAGATTAGTAGAAAGCAATTGACTGAATAATGATGATACTTTTGTATCGATTGAAGCAATTATAGATGATATATCATGTTCAATTGATGTATCATTATTCTAGATAAAGAAAATATTCTTTTGTTTGAAAGATTTCTGGTGTAAATATAATTCAAACTTAAAAAATTCAAAGTAATATCTATGAGCATTTATTTGTATATTACAAATAGAAATAGATTAAAATATAAATCTTATTAAGAGATAATTCGATGTGACTTATTCAAATTCGAGTTCTATAGACGACATTTGAGTATGTGTAAATAGACAATATTTTACTTTTTTCGTAGTATGTATCCTGAGTAAGAAAAATTTGCTAATCCAATCTCGCAGGGTAAGATAGAATAACCCTACACACCTATACTATATTGTCTTAACTCAAAAAAAATTTAAATCTTCATAAATTTGCCTAATCATAACATACTAAATAAATATTATAGTCCGAGTGAAAATTTGATTTTTTTTTTGTCTTCATTTTCATTTCATAGTGATTTGTTCTTGTACTTTTCATATAGGCTATAGATTGATATGGATTGGTCATATATGTACCATTTATAATTTTGTACTAGTCCTCTATCTATAGTGTATATCGTAAATTTTATTATTTTGTATGTGTGTACAATTGCTGGTATAATTTGAAGTGTAGTGATTTTTACATACCACTAAAAATTTGATTTATATTCATACATTAAAACTTGTTTAACATATTTATTAGATAGTATCTCTACATGAGACTATACACTAATATACTTCGGAATCATTTTTTTTTTATATTATGCGTTTTTTTTTTCTTGTATTATGACATATAGAAATTCACCTATTGGTAGTGGAACGAGACCAAATGCTGGTAGATTTACATTACATCACTAGAAAATACTAAAGACTAAATGTTAGACTGCGATATTATATGAGATGTGAACACATCCTCAACTCAGAGTATCGTAGTCATCCTTTAAGTTAAAAAGTTTAATTTCATATATCCTTGAGCATTCAGAAAAGTTTGGACTCGGCCTAACTGTGATAATACTCGGTCTTTATTTTATCATTATAGAATAATTGAGAAAGCTATGAATTTCTCACATTTGATATCCATAATTGTTCAAGTCGTACAAGTGCACTATCAAGAGTATCAATAGCAGCATTAAATTTTTGTTTTTCAGCTTCTAAACGTTGACAATCAATTTGACGTAATGGTTCATATTGTTCTTCATTTTCATCTTGTTCTATTGTTATTGTTTGATCAAGTACACTTTCCTAGAAATATTCAAATAAAAGAATAATAATTCATTTAATCTACCATCCATTTCCAAAAAACATCTTCATGTTGATTCCAAAAAAGACATAAATTTAATTTACGATGTTCATTTTCAAGTTCAATCATATACTTAAAATAATAATAGAATAAATTATTTAAAAACTAAAAATAAAAACCGATATACATGCGATAAAAGATGAGGATGTTGACAAAGATAAGCTTCAAGTGATGACATATTATGACAACCATGTATCTAAAAATATAAATCAAGTTTTGTTTTTATTAAAAACAAAATGAAATACTCAAAATAGAATTTACTTGATGTTGTAAATTAGCATTTTCAATAACAAGTCCATGAAGACGACGTAAACGAAAACGTAATTTAGAATTAAGACGCATAGCTTGTTTTACTTGTCCTACAAGATCTTTTTCTTGTGGAGGATATTTTACATGTTCAATATTAACTGTCTATTACAACAACAAAAAGAAAAAAATGGAAAATTTATTTTAATTTACTTTATAAAGTGAACTAGTATCATCATAATCAAGTATTGAATTTGAATTTAAACATTCTTTCATACATTTTTCAATTAATTTCATTTGATAAATAAGCCAACCAAGACAAATAAGTAATTGTTGACTACCTTTTTCCATTTTATTATCAAGTGATAAAAAATGTTCATAAGTATAACCACATGTAAATAGATTACTTTTAATCATATTGACTAGTTCATCTAAATAACAACATGAAAATATTTATTATCGAATATCAATAATATTTTATGATTCAAGTGTGAATCGTTAGATTTCAACAATATCGATGGTTTGAGAACTGAATGTTTCGTGTTTTTGTTCAGAAATAAATTGATGGCCGGATAATTGGTGTGAGTCAGGGCGATTTATATACCACAGCCCGCACTCAATTGAATTGGAATATCGATAAACCCTATTTGATCGTTTACTTTCAAGAAAATATTTTATATTTCAAATCTGAGATTATGAAATCAATTCTTCATAGAATCCGAATCAAATGAGATTGAAAATATTCAATTACTCTATTTGGATGATCAACATTAAGTTAATTTAGGCATTGATCACACTCGAACTCTGACTTGATGTGGGGATTTGATTTTGAAGTTCAGGTTTGGAAACGATAAGTATATGGACAATCATCGAAGGATCCTAAAGTTCGGGTTTCGAATATTTCTGAACATTGTGGGCGTTTTTTAGTATTCCTGCAGATCTTTGACTTTCAGATTATTATTTTCACTGTGTATAATAAACCTGCCATAGCCAAGCCTGAAATCCTTCCTTTTATTAGTTAACTGAAAATAAACGCAACTAAGACTAAATTCCTACATTCGGGTTCAACGCATTCTTAACTTCATTCGTTAGAATAAAACTATACACATAGAACGATAAAAAAAATAAATCCCTGCCGTATCCATTGAGTTTAGTAATTGTACCTTTTGGTATTTGATCAAATTTATTCATAGTTTGTTGTTGATTACAACTTGTTGGATCAAAATGAAGTATTTCAAATATTAAACGCCATAATGGAATGGTCTAAATAATTGATTGATTTTATTTAATATCAAAAAAAAAAAGAATATCTTGAGTTTTAACTAAATCTTACTGCTTCATTACGATTAAATTTCGCAAGACGGAATATTTCTGGTGTAATCGGTGAAAATCCATATAAAGATAAAATCTGACAAAAACATTCAATTACTGGACGAACTTGTTGTGTAGAAGTTGATGACATTCTAGAGTAAGACACATATTCAATTAAATCATTCGTTTGACTTTTTCTTTTTGTTTTGAAATAAAAGAAAAAAACAAAATTCCAAAGTCTTTGTCGTTTATTAATATATATTTATATATTTATGTATAGAATTTATGTGTGTGTGTGTGTATATTTGGTAAATAAAGAAGAATAAGAAGAGAAAAAAAAAGAATACAGAATAGTTTTTATTTCATACATATATCTCGCTCTATTATTTACGTAGAAAAGAAACAAATAAACAAACATGGAATATCCGACTACCTAATCTAGGTAGTATAGAGACGAAAAAGAAGAAAAAAAAAGAAGCATTGAAATGTACAGGATAAAGTGCAGTTTTGAATTATTTGATCAGGTTGATTTATTTTTTCCTATCTTTGATTAGTCGATGTGATAGTAATATTATTATTATTATTATTATTATTACTAGTGGTTGTAGTCCATTGCTGTTGATGTCGACTTAAGATGAGATTCACAGAAGGACTGTTCGTAGTAGATTGTAAATCAGTTGAAGAAGAATTTGATGAATGATTTGTATTATTCGATGGAGATAATGGTGTTGATAAAATTTTACGACTACGACGAGATGATACACGAGTAGGAAGAATTTCCAATTTAGGAGAATTTGTTGATTGTTGCTGACGAGGAGATGAACGACTAGATAAGATCAAAATTGTTATTAGTTTAATAAAATAAAATGTTAAATGAATATTTTACTTGGTAGTAGAAGGTCGACCACGTTTTCCTTTGGTGATTGGTGCTGGCGAAGATGAGGGAGGAGGTACTGGTGGATCACAAGCTGAACATTGCCATGATCCATCTGGAATGGCTTCAAGACCGACACAATAAGAATGATAACCACGATCACATCGATCACAGAACATCATATTAGCCTATAAAAAAGAAAACAATATATTTCATTTTGTGTTGTACAAACGTTTTTTTCTATAAGATTCACCTAAAAACAGGCTGACGAAGAAAGGTTCTCATGGAATAGATCGGTTTCCAACTGAAACTGTATTTAATCGATAGGGTCTAGTGTGTAAGTAAATACTCTATAGTAATTCAAACAGCTGAGCCTTCGTCACTGAGATAACCAATGTTTAGTGAATTTTTCCTGTAGAGCCATAGTTTTAAAGCGAAATCATACTTTTGAATTCCGACTTGAAACTTTTTGAGTAAGCCTCTTCGAGATATGAATTTTTCAAAATACCTTTGTTTTTTTAAAATGATCATGGACCCCTACATTTGAAAAACTTCATATCTTGGAAACTTAATCAAAAAATTCTTAATACACTACTCGATTCACTCTAAGGTATTTCCTTACTCACTAAACCCTATCGATTTAATATAGTTTCGAACTGTTCCTCGCGAGTAGATTCTTATTTTAGCCTAGAACGTTCTAGAAGCATCACTTTACGTTCTGCCATATTGTTCATTTCGATAACACGTTAGTATAAAAGAAAGATCAGAAAACTAAACAACACGTTTAGTCAAGTTAGCATAACATTTTATCTCTTACTTCATCATGTGTCGTGTTACATTTTGCACAACTTTTACAATCAATACATTGCCATGGATATGTTTTAATTATAGTTAACATTTCAGCATTAACATCAAGACAAACTGGATGATAACGATGATGACAACTTGTACATGTAACTAATTCTTCATCATTTTCATCGTCGCCTGTTTTACACATATGACATACATTTGAATGACTGTTCATTGAAATTGGCGTCGATGGTTTTGTTATACGAACTGATGATGGACCATTAATATTACTACCGATTCCATTGACTATTAATGGTGATTGTGGTGTTGAAGGATTTGAAAGTGGTAGACGAGTTATCGAAGTACCTTCCTCTTCTTCATCACTTGATGCTCCCTAGAATTTAAAAATAAATAGTGTTTGAATTATTAAGATACTTATAGATTTGAGTTCATATTAAAATTCAAAATCAGAGCGTCCCAAGCTAAATTTCATACATGTTATGCAACTTTTTATTCTTTACAAAATGATGAAGAAATATTCGAAAATAAATAGTACGTTTGAGTTTCACATCTATCTCTTACATGATGATTTAAAATTATTTCTTAATCGAAAGAAAAATATTTTTACCAGTTTTGATTGTTATGCAACATAAGTATAACATTCGAAATCAAACAGCTTTTAGAGAAAAATTTCTGGTCCCACAAGGATCGACTTTTCGCAAGAAAATATGTTTGCCGTTGATTTTGAATATCGTATATATTTTACTTTACAATTTTGTCTTGGCGATGAAAACCGTTAAATTTTCTTTTCGTTTGAAAAATTATTATAAAAGAGAGAGAGATGTGAACTCTGAACATACCCTTCATTTTTTAATATCTTTTTACCACTTTGTCGAGATTAAAAAGTTCGATACGATATATGAAATTCTTTGATTCTGAATCCCAACAGGAGATAAATTATTTTCAAGTGGACATTTTACACTTCTCGAAAGAACCATTTTTTATTTATGTTGGCCTTATAAGACTTTAGTCGATCAATACTGTATTGAATTAGTTCATTTTGTTTAGGTTTAATTTATAAATAATTTGTTTTCACAGGATATTTTTTGTTAGTTATTTTTATGAGGATATGGCAGTGATAAAAAGTCGGTATTGACTAACTTTTGAAAAAAATCAGGTGTCGGACACTAAAAGTTTTTTATCGAATGCTTCATATATTGTCATGATCCTCAATGATCTTATAATTCTTCTCTTACCATTCGACTAAGCTATCGAACTTTTTTCTAGAGGACTCCGGTTTTCGGGCAACTCGTATTTTAGAGTTTTCAATCGATACTTTCCGCATATAGAGAACTCAACAAGACTAGCTTCCGTAAAAGAAAACCCAAAAGTTTTCAACATAGTCTCTTCAAGATATGAAGCTTTCAAAAAGAAGCATGTTGAATATACAATCCATAAAAAGCGCTTAGTATCTCGAAGAGACTTTGTTCGAAACTTGTAAATTTTTCTCATGAAAGTTTTGTCAAATTTGAATAGGAATCGAAATGAGACATCTGAGATGGTTCTCTCGTGAGAAAAAGAATAGAAAAATCAGTACCTGTTGTGAAAAACGTTCCGTGTGAACAAGTGAAAGAGGTTTTGGATAATAATAAAGTGCTGTATTAATAGGCATATATTTAAGTTCTTCTGGTTTATATTTTATATATGAATCTTGATATTGTCCAGGTAAAAGTGCTAATGGATAAGAACCAATTTTAGTTAAATAAGATGGTAAACGAAATTGTCGATTAGATGGATAATGAATTTGCTAGAAGAAATATTTAGTAAGAAAAAAAAAAACAAGATATGAAAAAAAGACACACCATAGTTTGAAGATCAAAGCATGCTTTACGATCTTGAATTCGTTCGCGTTGTAATTGTGTATTATATTCAACTGCTGAACGTAGTAGTTCTTGTCGAATAGTATTAGATAATTTCTAATAAATATAAAATAAAGAACAAATGTGAAAGATAGAAAATCAATAGAGTATTAAACATACAGAAGAACGATTTTTATCTCCATTATCAAGTGAATTCGTTGGTTGAGCAATGGACATAGATGATGATGAAGATAATTGATTAGAAATAGATGCAGATAAAAGAATGGGAGTTGTACTAGTACTACTATTATTATTAGGTTTTGTATTGTTTGCTGTTAAGAGTGTACGACGTTTTTGTTGCCATACATGATTGAATTGCTAGAATTATATGAAATTACATCATTTTAAGAAGATGATGATAATCAATTAGAAACATACATTTGATGGGAGGGTTATCTATTTTATCAAATAACAACAAAATTATAGATTAATGTCGCCATGTCCTTCGTCCTATGCATTATTTCTGGAAATGCCGATTACTTTTTCAGGAAGAAAAAAACAAGTATTCCGTGAAAGCGAGCTTCAATGAACTTTCTGATATATATATATATATAGTGATGGAAAAAAATTGAACAATAATGGTTATCTAATTTTCACATCTCCGAAGACTTTGTTAGAGCTATTGTTTAATAATGCTCTTTAAAATGGTATTATTAAACAATAACTCTAACAAAGTCTTCTGAGACCAAAAAACTGCCTTATCATCGTAGTTCATCTTAGAAATTTGATTATAGAAAAATATATTGTTGTTTAACTTTTTCCCACCCGTATACACGAAAGAGGTCTGTTTGGGTGTTTTTAATCCATCCATGTGTGAATTATGTCAACCATAAGAAGCTATGGATGTCGTAAAAAAACGTTCATGCTCTTATCTTATAACTACTGAGATATTGTCTTTGTTAACTCAATAGTTTGGTTCACCTCAGGAGAACTCATTGTCGAATTTTGACTTGAAACTTTGTTCAGAGGCAGGTTTCAAAAAGAACAGTTTATTGTGAAAGTTTTCAGCGTTTTTACAATAAACTATACTCATAATTACCTATCTCAGTGCAATATTTCAATTCGAAAATGATTTTTTCTAAGGGTAACCATGGAATTGAGCTGAAGAATAAAATATCTCTTCAATAACAAACTGAAAACTCTAGTTTCTTCCAAGATATTCATAGATTATTTACATCTACATGATATACAGTTTCGACTACTTTATCATGCTGAAATGGTGTTAGTCAGATTTCGCGGTGCAATCATAGAGATTTAGGTAATGTTTGAACTCATTAACTCTAAGCCACAGGCTATTTTTGTCTTCACTCAGATTCTAAATCCGCCCTTTGACTGTCACTCTCAACTGATTGTTTCATTACCTCAGTCGCTGCTATTATGCTGTAGTTTGAGCCTATTAGTAGAAAAAATTCTTACATGACATTTTTCTGGATAATCAGTTGACATAAGTTCAAGCACTTCATCAAGCTTAAGTGCTGTTAAACCAAGATCACATTGTGCTTCAGTAACAACATTTTGAGATTTTAAATATTCTCTTTCATGTAAATCAACTATTCTTCGAGAAATGTC